AGACAGACAGACAAAAATTCTAAAAACTATAGATTCGGCCTCTGTATCGATAATAATGTCTATTTCAATTAGATTTTCCAAAAAATATTTAATGTACAGATTCGACTTAGTTACAATTTTATTATACTCATATGTATAGATTAAAAAGAAAAATATTTTAAACTAAATATTGTCCAGAATACAGTTAAAAATGATCTAATATAATACCAGCCGTTCTTCAAGTAGTGTTAATATATTGTAAACAAACGTTTGGGTGGCATTTTAGTGTCCGACTCAAGTTATTAAGTTCGTGCTCCCCATTTTAAGCCACCTTGACGCTTTTAAAATACTCAAAGCTCCGTGAACATTTTCGTAAACCATTTGTAACAGAACTCATTATGGTTTTCCTGTTTTATCTTTTAGGATATAGGACCTGAAAAAACTTTTGTAAGCTGTAAGTTGTACAAGTTTTGTAAATAGCAAATATTCAGCGAGCAATTACAGTTAGCGTTCTTACTTTAATTTCACGCAAACATTACGTTTTATACTTATATATATATTTGTTAATCTATTTTTGTTTCTAATTTTATTTTGTCAATAAAAAACTTGAATTTTAAGTATCAATATTTACAACACACTTAAATTTAGAGAAAAGTATTTATACTTCATTATTAGTACCTACCTGGGTAACCGAGCTTCGCTTGGAGTTCTTTTTTGTTTTATATTATGTTATAGATGATAATCTATATAACTTAAAACTAAAAACTTGAATAAATACAAAAAAAAAAACAAAATTAAAACTTTGTATCCGTTCGAGCCTGGGTGTGTCAATCATGCACCTTGGCCGCTTGTCCGCGATGCTTATGCCTGAGCATGCGAAATTAGCGTCCATATTTTGCGTGGAATAACGCGAAAGAAAACCGCATGAATACTCGAAAGCACGCGTTTACCCAGACATAAGACTAATCTAGATCAATTTTTGGCCCTGAAAACCCTCACAAACCAAATTTCAGCAAAATCGTTAAAGCCGTTTCCGAGATCGCCGGTATAAATAAATAATTAAAATAAATTATTAATATACAAAAATTGCTCGCTTAAATTTATCAGATAAGTCATTAAATATTTATTAATTTTAACATAAAAATAAACGCTACGTTAATTTATCAAAAATAATACAAGAAAATGGGTATTTTAAGTCTCATTTTATCATTTATATGAAAAATAACTAAATTAATAACGAGCGAATTGATTTGAAAATAGATAATACTCAGAATTAGGGACAAGATACCAAAACTTTCTAGACGTCGTGAGTGTTTTATTAGACGCGTTCTCAAGTACCTCTTTACATTAAATTCCATGGTAACCTTCTCAACATGATTATTACATGATTATACTCTGAAAGATAATAAACAATATCCTGAAGAAACCTCATGTAACCGCATTCGAGAGGTTTCAAAAACTCTACCTATTCATATAAAGACTTGTAAATTGCTCTACTTATACATTAAAAAATATTCAATTTTAAATTCACAGTTCTTAAATGTTTTCTTTGAAATTAATTTATAAACATATGGATAAGTAATATAGTAATTTATAATGCACGAAAGGATGATTGAAATGAGTGCATAGCGTAGTGTTACTCTGTCACTTGTTTGGTGAAATCAAAAAAAAATATTAAGCTAAAACTAATAACAACTGCAATAATGTTATACTAAATTTGCTTTACCATTAAGTGAACGCTAAATGCACTAAAAGAATAAAAACAACTATCTGATAATACACACATTCTAGTTCACAGGAATATCACGTAGTTGAAAACTAGGTTAATACCTGTAGAATTGATTAAAGTCCTGTATCAAGTCGACTCCTTAATAAGTCTAGTCTAATGACTAGGATGACCATGATTTATGTTAGTTTAAAAGGTAAATTTAATATGACACTTAAATATTGAATAGAATAAAATAAAAAAAAGCTTATAAAAATTTATTGCCATATATATTTAGTATTTACTTAAGAATAATATTAGGAGAATCGTTAGAGATAATATATTTCAGGAAAACATGTATATATATGAAAATAATTTATCTGTCTATATAAAAGAAACAATCTTTCAATTTGGATATATTAATTTAGTAATAGCACTAAAACTCGTCAATAGCTAGGTACTAAATGAAGAAAAAGAAGAAAATCCGTTGACTGTTATTGAGGAGAAAAAGGTACTGAATTAGTTTATTTTTGTTTCTACATACATAACATACAGTTATCAGTTCTTTGTAAGCATATTTAAAAAAACAACCGTCTTTTCAATAGCTATTATCTACATCTGGTTACCCTATCTTCAAACCTTCCAATAGTGGTCGGTATTGGCTGTGCGCTAAGAATAGCAATAAGCTAGTTATTAGACTTTGACTATCACCATCTCAGCTTATATTTACAGCACTAGAGAAGAGAATTCAAAGCGAGTTTTTACAAAGAAAATTATAATAACTAGTAGAATTTATATTTTAATGAGAGTACTTTAGAATAAAGAAACTTTCTTGTCTCTATAATAAGGTTAGTAATTAATTCTATGCAACTATTATAACGACTTGTTACGAATAAAGCTGAACCTATCAATACAGTAGCTGTACGAATAATTTATTATTTTTAGTACACTTACTGTACGACTAATATTATTTTTATTAGTCCGGCTATTGATTATTTGTTTTGTTTTATATTTTTACTTAATAATGAGGATAAGAGAACAAGTATGGGTATTTACAGCTGCAATCTTTAATTTAAAGCTTTCGAAAGAGACACTAAATAAATATTATACTAGCATTGCTCGCGGCTCCGCCTGCGTCCAGATGACCAAAAACCAAATACGTGGGATGTAGTTAAGTGTACTAACCAGGCACGAGTCTTTATAATCATAACAGGTAAATATTCAAAGATTTTTTGTCAAACAAACATCCCTTTCATTGCTAAAACTTTCCTTTTCCATCTAGATAACTGTATAGTGTTTCGAGTGTTTTTACCATAAGTTTCTCATAGATAGTAAAATTTCAATAGTACCACGCCCTTAGCCTTATGTTACGAATGACGTGAGCAAACTGCGAACCAACGTAATAATCGGATCGATCTATTTGTCAACATTGTACCATATGGCGCACGTCCGACATTGTTGATATATCCTCAGAATAAGCCTCGCTTATCAAATTATCTGCTTAGAAAGCTGCCAGACAATTCTGCTGTGTATAATATAATATAGATGGAATGACAAGATTATATTGAACCAGCGGTGCAAGAGTTAATCTATGTTATTACAAAGCTTTTATGGTACTGAATTTGTACGTAATTACGTTTGTTTATATTTGTATTGGAGCAATTCATGTAGGATTTATTTTTCACCGACTATCAACTGATAAAATGCTAAAAGATTTAAATTAGAGATAGTTTCAAATCTGACTAGTACATACGCCAGATTAGTGCGAACAAACAAAATTATAAAGAAGAAAACAGGCTATAAAGTAGGTATTTATGTAAATGTTTCTTCATATTCATTTTCAATCAAATATTTTCGAAGTCGGTGTGCTTTGGCTAAGTAATTAATGCCTGCCTATTAAATACATACCTAATCAAATATTTTCGAAATCGGTGCCAGCCCATACAAAGCAAAGCACACCGACTTCGAAAATATTTGATTAGGTATGTATAGTAAATGAAAACTACCAATCAGTTATTTTTTACTTTTTAGTGCTTTTGTTTGAAGTCGGTTTTCCTTCAATCCATTGATATAAATATATAGTAATGAATATGGACACGTGTAAGAATCCGTCGAAATGATAGACTGCTACATAATAACGTACTAAAGAGACCTAGTTCGCAGTCCATAGTGCAAGCTGTATATATGTAACACAAAGAAAATGTGCGCCAGGTCAAGGCTGACTGTTTCATCTCATGGATGAGAAAATCGCGAGAGATTTTTCAAAAGAATTAACGAGGCCTCGGGCAAAATTTAAGACACTCGCTAAGATACGTATAAGTAAATACTTTTATGTAACGACTAAATGTCATTTACCGTCTCTTGAACATTGTGAAACTTGATTTAATAATATCTGTATAATGTTGCATAGCATGTATAAAGAATTTTATGAGGCAAGGTAACCCATAATTCATCAGCCGTTTTTAACGTGCCACTGCTGGACACGGGCTTCCCTTCAATACGAGGGAGATTAGGCCATAGTCCACCACGCTGGCCAATTGGGGGTTGGCGGAATTCACATGTCTATCGGAAACTTGTTAGGTCATCTCAGATATGCAGGTTTCTTCACCGAAAGACGAGTGATAATTATGTTGAAAAAGATTCGTACAGTAAAATATCACAGGTGCGAGACCCAGGATTTGAACCCGCTTCACTCGTTTACCCAAGTGAGCGCTTACCACTGGGCTACCACTGCCTCATTCATAAAGTATTACATCTATTTTACGGTACAATTATAAAGAAAATTTCTTAAAGGCGATGTTAACTTCGCTACCTATATCGTGATTTACACGAAGCATTTAAAGTGGCCTACAATTAATTACTATACTAGTTAATTGACGCATCTGCGCCTGAGACAGATTAATACTCCATTTATCCCTACAATAGTTAATGGTTATCCCTAAGTTAGGTAATGATTTATGATGTCCATGTTATTTATTATATTGAAGCAACATTACTTGATAGTACAGCGTAGGTATCCTAATTTTTTCGTGTTATGTACTGATAGAGCTTTGTCGTTTTTCTAGTATTTTCAGCTTGGCTAAGTTCAGTGTTAGAATAGAATTGAATCTTCTTCTCCCTGCCCATTTCCCAATCACTTGGGGTCGGCGCAGTACATCTTCTGTACTGCTCTTTGTCTGAATGGTATCGTGGAAGTCTTATAATATTCACTTTCGTTTTTTTTTGTCTTTTAAAACATTCTGTATATTCAAGGTAGCTTTTGCTTGCTTTAGTCTAGTCACTGTTTAGACAATAGTCGTTTTGTAATTATAAAAATATGAGTAATGAATATGCTTGGTAAGCGGCTGAGACCAATGATACTTTTAATAGATAATAATGGTTGTATAATTTGATTACACTTTAGAAATACTTGCTATAGATGATCAATATAAAACATAGAATAGAATAAATGAATAACTATAGTTACCACATAAATTAATTATGATATTTTTAACTCAATAATTTATCAATAATTTATTCATTCAATATTTATTTTCATCAATCTCCTCTTTTTATGAACTCAGTAAAATATACTAAAAATAATTTTACTCTAAAATATTATAAAGACATTCAGTATAAATTGATTTTGCGATGGAATTGCAGTCAGACATACCAAATCAATCCGGTCAATTTAACGAATAACGGTGTCGCTTCAACCGGAATAACGAAAATGGTACAAATTGAGCATCTATTTATACAGAGCTATAGTGAGTATATCTTGGTTTCAACCATTCGCTTATTGCGACAATGATAAGATATACATATATATGATACGATATAGGCAGTGGTAGCCCAGTGGTAACGCGCTTGCTTGGGAAACCGTGTGAAGCGGGTTCAAATCCCGGGTCTCGCACCTCTGATATTTTTATGTGCGAATTATTTCTAACATGATTACCACTTGCCTTATGAAGGAAAAATATCGCGAGGAAACCTGCATGTCTGAGAGAACCTAGCGAGTTTTCGAAAGACATGTGAAGTCCGCCAACCCGCATTTGCCAGCGTGGTGGACTATGGCCTGATCCCCCTCGTATTGAAGGGAGGCCCGTGCTCAGCAGTGGGACGTTAAGAAGGGCTGAATACAATACAAGATAATTATACCTATTCACTTATTATTTCACAGCCAACATCAAGTACCGTAATGAACCGATTGCATGACAGTTGGACATTTGTGCTATAAGTACATAAAAGTGTAGGCACTTACATTTTCAAAATTGCCGTCTTAAGTTTCTTAGGATAGTGAAATAAACATATAATATTTTGGATTAACAATGTTAAGATTCTCTCGTTTTATAAATATTATGTTTAAATTACTACTGTTTGTATTTACAAAAGAAAATCGAGTTCAAGATCACCCTCAGACCCCTCAGAGGTTGTATTTTTTAGTAAAATTTATCTGGATATTGTCCTTGGGATATAGCTTATCCTTTAAATATAGTCGGTTTGCTTCTTCTTTTTATAAGTCGTTCAAAACCTTGAAGTTATATAATACAAAAAAACAAAAAGAAACCTATCCCACGGGGACCGTACATTTTTCCGGAATAAAAAGTAGCCTATGTGTTATTTCAGACTATAATTTATCTCTGTGCCTTTCATCCAGACCCGTTCAGCCGTTCTGGCGTGAAGGAGTAACAAAGATCTATACATACAAACTTTCACATTTATAATATTAGTATTATATTAAGTAATGTTATTTAAAAAGTATGATTTAATGTTACGAGTATAGGGAACCAATCTATCATAAGTAGATGTTTTCACATCTTATACTATTTTGCTGCTAGTTTTTTCGATCTAACTATAATGTTACTGTCAAAGGTCGTATTATACACATGGTAATAAGGTATACTTTAAGTATAAATAGTCTGAAGAGCTATGTTGTTATTATTTTCACGCAACAGTTCAGGAGATAGAATCAGATTCATATTTTTTTTTTAATCGCTCATATCTCATTAATCTCGTTTTTTTTGTTTTAGGCGTGCTAGTGCGGGGCTACTAGCACCTCAGCTCACCTGCCAAAGCTCGCCAGGTCCAGCGGCATCAGCGCCACCCCTTCCACCACCAACTTCACCCCCTCGGATTGTATCCGCCCCTCAACCACCCCCTGAGCCTATACCGCAACCAATCGAAGAAGATGGTGTGCGATTACGTCGTGCGCACACCGTCGCAGTGCGAGATTACCTGAAGAGGGAAACTCAAACCTTCTTTGGTGTCCAAAGAGACAATGAGAGGGAACAAAGACGGCTGTGGCATGAAAGGCGAAGAAGACATGCGGCGCGAGCGCTCGGTGACCTTAGGCTCGACCTGCCGCCGGATCACCATCCTGATGTCGACGATATTAGGTAGGTGCACTAAATATTAAAATAATATAATGTACAATTACAGGTAGATATATTAGTTATCAGTATAGTGTAGTTATTTTTTTACTACACATTATTACTACTAAGACTTTTGAAATTTTTTATTGTCTGTTAGCCTGTTCGGAACGATTGAAAGAAAAAGTGATATTTTAATTTGTTTCAAAAGATAAGGATTGTCTTGGGATGGAACAAATGAATTGTCTTGCCAAGAAACTGTTTCCCAAGATGCAAGGAAAATACTGCTTACGCAGATTAGTTTCTATATATATGTAAAACAGCATATACATCTGCATATAGAAGCGTACTTTCCGAGATATATGTTTTTGTTACACTTCGATCGCTCTCTATAAATTCCACAACCTAATTTTAAACCTATTTTGGAACTGTGTACTAGAGATGAGGCTTCCATTTTAGTAGGTTAACTTGGATTTTGTCTAGTCCTCCCTTAAAGGCAATTCAACTGAATATTTTATATGTTCATCAAAAGAGTGCTGGAGTAACATGGTATCAGTCGTCATACCAAGTATCGGCATCTCTAGTAATGAACTGGTAAATTAGTCAGTATCAGCCTCAGGGAGAGCCAACCCACCGTGGATTTTGGTCTCGTATATGCTGGCTTTCGTCTCTTACTTATATTTATATATTATTATATATATGATATTTCATATACTCGTACCTATGAATATCTATTTTTTATAAGTATATTTTCATATTTCGAATATAAATTAACGTAGACAAAATATGTTAAATAATTATTTTGGAATGTACATAAATTACTTTCATCTACTTTGTACACAATATTATAGTTTAACTACGAGCAAACCGTGCATTATATCTCTTACATTCTATTAAATAATTTGATAATATATTCCATCAGACGAAATTAATGGAAACACTAAGCTGCGACCGTGATTCTGTTGTTAAAACGAACTTGGTATCACTCAGTTATAAAATCTGGTTCAAGTTTGTAATAAACAAGCGTTAACTCGTGGCTCTGTTTGAGTTTCTTTTTCTAGAAACGCGTAGAATGAGTAGCTCAAGCAATATCTTTCGATCAACTGGACCGATTTAAATGAAAATTAGTTGTTTATAATCAGAAACATTATCATAAAAAGTTATTCTCGAGAAATGTGATACTAAATATACAGAAATAAATTCTAGGTAATCTAAATAGTTAAATGCTTTGACTCGGTTTTACTCGTAGCCATTGATAAACTCTATCTTTTTCTCTGCTGGCTCCATTATTAAATAAACTCGATGTGATCAAATTACATGACTATAAAAAATTATTAACATGGTTAGTTACAAATGACGCTAATAAAAGTGTGAAAAATGTATTTTTTGCTAATGGTTCACCCCCGGTCCGCTTGGGTTCGTTCCTAGTAAAAAACAAATCTATCCCACATGAGGAGTAAATTTTTCCAAGACAAAAGGCAGCCGCTGTGCTATTTCAAACTATAATTATTTATCTCTGTGACAAATTTTATCTACATCCGTTCAGCCGTTCTGGCACGATTGAGTAACAAACATCCATCCATCCAAAGTTTCGCCTTTATATATAGTGGTTAGAAGTAAGATAGATAGTCTGGTGTGTGAATATGTTGAATTGAACTGCGAATGTTAATAATGTAAATTCTCGCACCGAATAAATATTTTATTAGCCATATAGACATTTGTCGCGGTCTTGTTACCACAAAGCTTGATAATGGATGTCAACAGCCACTACTTGGATACTAGCAAAAAGCAAAGAACAATAATACTATATTGTTTTCTCCGTATCTAGAGAGTAAAGCTCTCTTTATGACACTACAATTTTTTTGTGCAAATAGTATAAATTAAAAGTACATATAATAATATCCTGAAAGTAACTTGTCATAAGAAAATATCTTACCAATAACAATTTATAATCTGGTTCACCGAATATTGTAAACCATTTCATACATCAAATACCAAATGGCGCAAAACGATCAGAATTTTATAGCAATATATCATATTAAATATACAAGGTTTTTCTAGAATGTAAAATGTTCCAGAGTGAAGAATATCTTATTTTGCATTCCGTATATAGCGCCTCTCAAATATTCAGTCAACGTAGACATTTGAGCCGATCTTCATATTATCGTTCGCTATAGTAGTATAAAGTGTAGAGGGTTTTTTGAACATTTTATGGTGTATAAAACATCTTCATAATCCTATAATAATATACGTATTTATGTATATAGATTATTTTAGTTTTTTCGTGTGGCAGTTTGTGAAGGTTTCTAATGTATCTGGTATTGTTACTTTGTTTGGGCGAAACAATGGCAAGTTATTAATGTCCGTAAAGTTGACCCCGCAATTTTCGAATTTCTAAAAAATAGAGAATCTGCTGAAATCTGCCCAGTTGTGCTATTACGTGCCGCTTGGGCTAAAAAAGTATTCAAAAAATATAATTTATATGAGAAGGTCCCCTTTTTCAAATCCCGTTAGCTCCGCAACGTAACTGTATCGAAATCGTTTAAATTGATAAAAAAATGCGGAGTCATCATCATGGACATGCAAAATTTTCCATTTTTACTTATATAATTGTTATTTTTATGGTTTTTCAACACTTGCACACGATAGCACATCTTGAGCACACCACGGCACAGTTCTAACGATTCCGATACAGTAAAGTGTCGGAGCTAACCGGACTTGAAAAAAAGGACCTCCTCATAAAAAATATATTTTTTTTAGTGGCACGTAATAGCACACACTGGGCACATTTTCTACTTCTTAGAAATTCGAAAATTGCGGAGTCAACTTTACGGACATGAGTTATTAAAAAAAAAACTCGTGAGGTAAATCTATAAAAAAAGTTTATCACAAGTAATAGTGTGTGTAGTTTTGTTTTAGCGAAGTGTGAGATACGATTCAGATTTTCCAAATATTATTTACCTCCCTTTAATAATACAAGAAGAAAAGGATGATTGACGGTATGCGAAAGCAATTTTTTGCTGTGATATGAAAATTAATGTAGCGTGACTAAATCTTTACATTATATTATTTCATTTGCTACACAGCCTCAGAAATTGTAAGTAAACCAGTAATCATTTTAAATAACAATAGGTAGGTATATGTTTTTGTTAAAGAACGTGGCATTATAAATTAAGAAGTAAATTTAATAATTCATATTTAAATTATGTAGATTGACGTAGAAAATTGAATTAGTTGCTAAACTCACTTTGCTTACAACATTAAAGATAAGTTAAAGGTGAGTTCAAATCAAGGTACAGTTGTTGATTGATATAATTTGAAATAAATGCTCGTAATTTACACCAACTAAAACACGACAAATCAATATTAACAATTTATGGTTCTAATAAAATATGCCATTTTAGAAATATGTAAAAGAAAATTTACGGAAAGTCTTGATAAATAAATAAATACGTTGGGACATTAACACACAGCGCCATCTAGTTCCATGGTAAGCTACGAGGCTTGTGTTATGGATACCAGATAGTTGATACACTACACACGTATAACTTTAAATACATACATATTATAAATATAAACACCCATGACTGGAGTACAAACATTCGTCATCATACAAATGAATGCCCCCAGCGGGACTCGAACCCGCGACCGCTGGCACAGAAAGTAGGGTCACTACAAACTGAGTCAAACGTGTCGTCTTGATGAATTAAATATTCGCATTTGTTTAAAGTTTAAAGTACTGTACGTATCCAGAATTAATAGCGCATTAGTAAAGTAGTATAAAAGTAACCGAACAATAAATTACAGTTTCCGCTAGAGTATTGACTGGTTTCATGAGACTCGTAGCTGTTTCTTATTGGAAAACTGTCGAAAATAAGATTTATTTGTGGACTTAAATGTTGGTAAATTTCACATTAATCTATTTAGTGTAGTTATAAAATTTAAGCTGTCTTATCTATACATATAATAAAATTCTAGCTGAGTCGAATCTATACATTAAATATTTTTTGGAAAATCTTATTGAAATAGACATTATTATCAATACAGACGCCGAATCTATATTTTTAGAATTTTTGTCTGTCTGTCTGTTACCGCATCACAGAAAAACTACTCGAAGGATTTTGATGAAATTTGGTATGGTGATAGCTGGTTATCCGGGTCAGTATATAGGATACTTTTTACTGCGGCAAAATGTCTCATTTCTGAGAAAAAATACAAAAACTGCAATGTAAGAGTATACTAATATGTAAAACCTAAGAATTTGATTTTTGGTCATCTGAACGCGGGCGGAGCCGCGGGCAATGCTAGTTTGTCTATATATTCATACGTGAAGAGAAAACTTTGAATCCTTTTTAAGCATATTGCATGTATGGAGGAGTATAAGTTTTGGCATAGTTAAAGTGTGTATAGAGGACTGCAGAAAGCCAAAATTAATTGACTTTCTTTTACCCGCGAATCCTCTTGCGCATTTTTGTTTATCATGATGTTACATAACCTTTATCAATATTATACAAGTACATATATAATTAAAGATGAAAAGTTTATTTGTCTGTACGTGCAAATCTATGGGCCTGTTTAAAAATTCTTTTGGATTTTATAGGCTATCTATATAACTTTGATCCAAAGAACTTTGAAAAAAAAAGATCCTCAATATCGATCAGACTTAAAGAATTATGGTTGATTTTCAACCACGGGGTGATCAGTAGTATAATGAAATATAACACGCTTCTAGTGACATTATATTAAATTTTTTTTTAGGGCAATACGTAATTGAGTCAAATAAGAAACTCCTTACACTAATAAACTCTGTTATTCAAACATACCAACAAACTCTATAAACGACGTAAGCATTAGTAAATATGACAGCAATGATTTATAATTTTTCTATGGAAATCTCTGTAATATTATCGTGAGTTGTTAATTTATCATTTTAGTAGATTTGTAAATAAATATATTTTTGATAATTTATTTATCATAAATAATAACAGGAAAGAAACATTTTGAAACATAAAACAAAAAATATATAT